CAAACAGACTAAAGCAGTAAGTTCAAGTAGAACACATCTTGTGTTTTCCTCTCACAGACTTCTTAAACCTCTTAAACAGAGAATTTCAAGTTCAACCTTTCCTACTTTTCTCCTTTTGTTCTCCTCCAATCAGAAGAGCTGTGAATTCAGTTTCTACTGAAAGAGTGCTCTTCAGAGGAGCCAGAAAACGTCATGCAAGGATGTATCAGCCTAGCTAGATCAAGCTGCAAATTAATATATTAATATGTTTTCCTAAGCAACGTGAATGGTATCGGCGATGAAGATGACCTTTGTAGACCACAGCCATCAGGGCTGTCACAAAAGGTCAGACCTGAAATCCAGCAATACCACCATTCCGTGCCTCATGGTGGCTGGTGGGAGATGTTCCCAGTGCCAGCACAGTGAGATGTGGATGGTCTGATCCACCCAGTCAGCCTCAGACTGATCTCTGCTGGTAAGGAGTTACTCAAAGGACTGAAGAGCAAGGTTTAAGTATCCCTTTCTAAGTCTTACCGGATTTATTTGCAACTTCTCCAGATATTCTCAATACACATGAACTGCTCTGTTTCTACACTGTCGCAGTCCCACAGGCGGTTCCCCACTACTGAGGAGGTATTTGCTGTTCCTGCCCTAAGCGTGCCATCCTTAGAACTTCATCAGATGCTTCCCTCTCTTGTGCAGCAGACAACTAAAAATCTTTGCACTTGCCTCCTGTGCTGGAATTGGTGCAGAGAACCCACGAAGAACAAGCACTTCAGAGCCTGAAAGCACCATCACCAAGCCCTTTTTAAAAATCCATGAAGCACTAGGTATCTATGAGTAAGATTGCTAAGCTGTTCCTGAATATTCCAACAGTAAACAACTTTTTTTTTTTTTAAAACATGATAACAACAAAAATCCTTGTACAGTTTATCAGGCTGATTTTTTTCTTTTCACTAAAGAAAACATTACAGTCATATTGAAAAAAAAAAAAGCCTTTTAGCAATGCAAGACTTAGATGCAATAGCGTCTAGAAAGATGCTATTAAATGACACAGAAAATACTCTAAAAACAGAAAGCAGTAAACATAACCCCTTTTCCAACAAATCTCAGATCCACACTGTCACTTACAGGGAAAAAAAATAAGCACTCCCACTGCAGGAAGCAGCAGGTTAAATTCTAAGACCTGTTTAGTGCCAGGACAGACACTCTGAATGGTCTTTTTACAGACTTCATCTAATTTATCTTCTTTAGATTTATTGAAATACATACACTTGCCATTTATTCCATTCCCATCCTTCTGCAAGGCTCATTAAGTTCACAGGTGTTCTAAAGGCATCATTTTCAGACAGCACAATCTATAAAATATGAATCACTACCTCTATGCTCACTGCAAGCAACCTCCCCTGGTGGTTTGCTATGTGACAGTGAGGAGCTAGACCTGCACAAGAAGGACACTGCCACCCCATGTGACTGTAGCACCAGAGAACTGCTCTTGCCCAGCTTTATTCCCTCGCACAAAGGTCTGGCAAAACATTGTCAATTTTAATTCATGTCTTCTCTGTTTTACTTTTGGTCCACGAAACAATGCAAATTAAGCCAGAAGAAATACATCTGATTTATGCTGTGGAAAAGGCCTTACTTCCAACTGGTACAAAAGGGACCCCTCGAGGACAGTTATTTTTTAGCTGTGAGCTACTACCAGAGAAGAAAATTAAGTAGATGCTTTAAAAAGAGACTTCTCACATAAGGAACAGCTCAAGCAGTACTGATAAAAGCTTTGGCATTATTCTTCCTGCAGACTCGTTCTAGTATTCTACTATGCAAAGCAGCCCCTTGGGACTCTCGTACAGCCTGAGCATGTGGAAGGGCTCATTGATACACAGAGCTCAAAAAGCAAACATATTGCATCAGCAAGGGCAGCCTCTGGTCCAAGCTGTGCTGTAACTCTCAGCTGACAGACCATCAACTCACTGCTTAAGACGACTGAAGACATTTTTCCTCAACCTCACCCTGACCTTCCTCCCCTCAGTTCACCTATTCTTGCTTTCTCAGAGAAACAATCAACAGGGATTGCAAGGATTTCTGCCTCAGTAGCCAATAGATCAGGTGATTATTGTGCACAAGCTCAAGCTAAAGAGGTGAAACAGATGAGCAGAGTGCCAGAGATACTCAAATGCCTGGACATCCACACATGCTCACTGGGAGAGGCACAAAAGCACCTAAGCACTTCAGTCACAAGGGTCACTCCAATGGCTCTGTGAAATATTCTTCAATGATATCAGGATTTCCCTGAGCAAACTCCAATCCATCTGGAACTTAGAAAACACAATTTCTAAAGCTGACTTGATTTAATCAAGGGCAAGTATCTTACCTGGAAGACAGGAGTTGTGGAACTTAGCTCCACCCATCTGGCAGTCATAACTGACTTCACTCCACCAGCCGTCAGCACATGACTTTTGCCACATTGGATTTCAGCCACTACTACCAACTGCTTCCCCAGATGCCTCCTCCCCAGCTACAAAGAAGCACACACAAATATAGCCTCTCCCTATATAGGATTAAAGGGCCAAAAACAGTGTGCAGGAGCATTCTGCCAAGTGAATCTAAGAATTGGTAGATTATTTCTCCATTTCAGAGAAGCCTGGGGATGCCGAGATCTTCTGCAGAGGTTCATCCAAAATGGAACGAGAGAACTTACAAGAAACCTGAATCACTACTAAAGAAGTCCTTTGCCCTGCAACAGCCACCATGTAGGTATTTCCCCAGCTGATGTTCCACCACGCCATTTTCAAAATTTCAGCTTGCTTCAGTAAGGGTGCAAGCTGAAAGAACACAAGGAAAAAAAAAGATTCTCAAAAAGCAAATAACGCCCACTTCCCCTGCAATGCCTACAGCTCAGCTTACATTAAGCAGCCAGTGCTAAGTATTTCTTTCTAGACACAGAAATGCTTCCTGGAGAAAAAAGATTGTTTTGGGCATTTTGAAGGGGTTATTGAGCTTGCAGGTGCTCTGAGGATGCTTTGGCTCAAGCACTGCAGCAAATCTCACACTGATTCTACCATTATTGCTCAAGTACTTGATGAAAGCTTAAAGTGGCTGAAAAGAGACCATGTCGTACATGAAGACCCTCTGACCACAGCAGATACCATGGGGATGCCTGAGAGGGGCTCTCTTAGTGATGTCCACACTGACATTGACAGGTCAGGTGAGATAGGAACAACCCACACTGCACAGAAACTCAAGAAATAAGGTGGGTTGTCAAAGCAGCTTGAGCCTATATCTCAGCACCCCAGCCAATGTCACGCAGCAGCAGAGACCTGCATGCCAATGCTGAAGGGAGGTGTGTTACAGCATGTGTGTTGTGATTAAAGCCACATTTTCCCTGCAGTCTAAGGGAAAGACTAATATTTTCACTGTGGCTAATTCATGACTGGCAAGTTGGACTTGCTCAAGACCTACTCAGAACAGTCTTGCTGCTGCCTAGAAACCTTTTAATTTATTTAAGTGCAGCCATTTATAGCACCTTTCTTTGAACTGGCCTCTCTGTTGCATGGTTTGGTTTCTATCAGTAAGAACCCTTTCTTCTTCAGCCCTTTCATAACAAGGCATCACATTTACCTACATGTTACTGTACAAAGCTTCCCAAGTCAGCCTGCAAAGGGTTCTGCTGCCTAAATAAGGGTTTCTATCCCCATTTAGGTGCCAGACTCCCAGCTGCCATGACAGAAGGCTGTGAGTCTCCTCTGCGTCCGGCTCATCTGTGCCAGCACATACGGACGTGTCTCAGCGCTGGGGACAGCTGACAGGGCACAAGGCCCTGATAATCAGGCACCTGGCCTGTTGCCTCCATGCTGTCCACAGACCAGGAAAGCAGCATTCATAATCTGTCACTCCTCCCTAAACCTTTTATTCTTCTACAAAGGATCCCACATATACAGATCCGAAATTTTGACATGTCTACAGCCAGCTGCGAGTCTGTCACTGGATAACTTACCATAAAATAGGGCCAAAATGAATACTGATACCAAAGATGGGACACAGAGGTTATGATTTACCTAAGTACTTGCAAAAGAAAAAAAAAAAAAAGACACTCTGAAATGCATAAATATATAAATCCTAAAGAACAAATGGATATGAGCATATAATGGAAGCAAATTGGTGAATGTTTCTCCGCAATTGCAGTTAAAGACTACGTTACAGAGGCAGACATCTCCTGAAAACAGCCTGTCATGCAGGCTTCAGTCACTCAGCTCCATGAAAAGAAGAGGACTGCTGGATGCAGATAGTTGCAAATGCTCTCTCTGGGCATTTATGCCCTTAACTTTGTAAACCCATGGTCAGACTGGAATTTTCCAATACCATTAGTCCTGTGCTTGCCTTCAGGTGCCCTTCTGAGCTGCTTCAAATCTAAATCCCCCCAGTTTCTCCAAACAAAGCTTCAGGAAAACAAAAAATGTTTTTTAAGGATTTCATTGAAAGCATCTGGAATCAAAAACAATTTTTAAAACTTCAGCTTCTGTATTTAAAAATCTGACACGCTACCTAAATCTTTTAAAGTCTGACATATACACTACTATTTCTAGCAAGGGAAAATGCAGAGAAAACCACAGAATATTGTCTAGGAAGCATATTGTAGGAAACCAATAAATCAGACGTGCTGTCACTGGTTTAGTGTCAACCAGTGCATTTGTGGCTGACCATTTGGATAGATTCATCTGCACACAAAAACCATAGTACACCATCTCATCATTAAACAGTTCTGAAACAGTTCTGAAACAGGCAGCACATTTAACAGCGAGGTATCCTTCAGGCACATTACTGTCTTTCAAGCATTAACAACCAAAATTGAATCAAGTACATCAAGTATTCATATGAAAGAACTAAACTCCTTACAGGCTTAACAAAGAAAATAAAAACACAGAACATTTGTTTGGCATTGTTAGGACTATTGCAAAGCATTAGGTTCATGCTACCATTTCTGAACTCTCCATTCCAGTTTCACCCCGCCCTTTATTTACCTTGAATCCCCAAAGGACTAACATTGCCTCTCAATGCTGGCACATGATGGTACCGGTGTGGCCTTGAACTCCTGTACATCCAGTGGTACCTGCCAATTTCCATTTCTGGTCTGGTGATCACTGCCAATTTTAGGTGGTAAAAAGTCAGTGTCACCAAAGTGTGTAGTTCAGTACTTTCAGTCATTTAACTTAAAAAATACGAGCCCATAAAAACACGTTTCTAATTACATCACTGAAATAACATAACTTTACCAAAACAAGGAAAGGACCGGGAGGAGGGGTGACAATCAACAGGGAAATGCTCACACAAATGTTAAGAAGGGCTGAAGAGTTGAAACCCATGATGGGATTTGAATTGAACGCCCAGGAAAGGCCCCTCTATTACAGCCGCCAGTCATCTCCCCCCCCACCCTTGCTGCTCCCCCTCCTTGTTCACAGCATGGGGTTCTGCTCCGGGAAGACACAGTCATGGAGAACCACATTATCCATTTTGTAAAATATTCCAAGTCTGACAAAGAAAACAATGACTACAGGGCAAAACCATGAGTTTACTCATTACCTTCTTACATAAAGTAAGTTGTGGGCTTTATCTCATGCAGGCTCCGATCATTTCCAAAAATCCAGACCAAATAGGTTAAAAGAGATTTGTTCCAAGGGTCTGCCTTTGAGGTCAGAGGTACACTCAGAAAGGACACGGCATGCACCAAAACACAACCAATGCATATTCACCAGCAAAGCTTTGCTGCTGAACACTGAGGAGCCCAAGGGCAAAATGGCGCCAGACCACTGGCACATCGACATTTCCTGCTCGCCTCCCCTCACAGCACTGCTGGGCTGTCAGGGCAGCGCGGCCCAGCCATTCATTAACACGCTCTGCAGTCCCACCCAGCCACAGCTGAATGAAAAAATAACTGTCATCCCTGGCCAAAATAAACCTGACTGCACTGCATTTCAGCTGTAACGGCGAGGTTACACCGGTAGGAAGTAGTGTATTGCGAACTAGATCCAAGGCAAGTCTCTGGTCTGTGTGGGACTGGGCAGGCACCAGTCCTTCCCTCAGGCTGCTTTGCTACTCGTGTGCTGACAAGTTTGGCATAGCTCCATTTGCTCGCATCAGAAGAGAAACATCTTAGCCTCACATCCAAGTGGTGGATCTAGAGGTCTGCAAGATGAATTTACTCATCTTATGAACCAGTGAGGGCTGGTGAATCAGCTCTAGTACTAAAAAAGCCTTTTAGGGTTAAATCAATGTCTCTTTAAAGGAGATGCGGTTTGCTGCTGGTCCCCTCTGTGCAACACACACAAAACATGGAGTAGGAACCACACAGCACGTCTTTCCCAGAAAGCATCATTCACTGAACTCACAGAACTTCCCCTGTAATCAGCACTGGTGAGATCTCACCTCGAGCACTGTGTTCAGTTTTGGGCACCTCAGAAAGGACATGGAATTGCTGGAACAGGTGCAAAGAAGAGCAACAAGGCTTGTGAAGGGCTTGGAGAATATGCCCTATCAGGAGAGACTGAAAGAACTGGGGCTGTTTAGTCTGTGAAAAAGGAGGCTGCTCTCTTCCAATATCTGAAAGGTGCTTACAGCAAGAGAGGGGCTGGTCTCTTCTCCCCGGTGACAGGTGATGGGATGAGGGGAAACGGCCTCAAGTTGCACCAGGATAAGTTTAGGTTGGATATCAGGGAAAGCTTCTTTACAGAAAGGGTTGTTAAGCACAGGAATAGGCTCCTTAGGGAGGTGGTGAGTCACCATCCCTGGATGTGTTTAAAAACCATTTGGATGTGGTGCTCAGGGACATGATTTAGCGGAGGGTTGCTATTTAGGGTAGTATGGTTAGGATGCAGTTGGACTCAATGATCTTTAAGGTCTTTTTCAACCTGAGCGATTCTATGATTCTAATATCTCAAGTCTGCTCCACCTTGTATGGCCTATCTTTCCTTTTAGGAAAAACAAATGCTGCATTTTATGAATACAATCAAATTCAGAATGTCTACAAGCCAGCATTCCAAAATGACAGTGCATGCTCAGGGAAACTTATGTCGCAGTATCGCCTCCTCCTACTTACACTGGAACATTCTTGTTCGTGTGATCACAAAAACCATAATGATCAAATTTGATACAAACTGGAAAACAACAGCACTGCTTGCTGGAACTTCAGCCTTTCTGCCACTCTCCCTGTTCCCTGCAACATTTTAAGATGGCTATTTAGGAAAAACTTCTCCAAAAGAGTGGTCTGGCACTGGAACAGGTTGCCCCGGAGGTGGTGTTCACTGTCCCTACAGATCATCATTCTGGAAGTGTTCAAGAGATGTGTAAATGTGGCACTGAGGGACATGAGTTAGTGTACAATATTTGTGGTAGCTGGATGGCTGGAGTAGATTATCTTAGAGGTCTTTTCCAATCTTAACAATTATATGATTCTATGATTAGCTACTTATTGGACATCAGTAACAGATCAAGATTTAAAAATAAATAAATAGATACATGGCAAAACTTCCACAAGGACAAAAAAATCTTCAATTGCTTTGCAGCAGCATTTAGACCAAATCCTTGGAAAAAGAAGGGCCTCATCATAGTAGGCCAAAGCCCACAATTTGAGACTTCTCCTGCAGCAGCTACAAAAACCACTTGCTGAAAGCAGCCGATGCCAATGCAGGCACTGCTTGCTGTGGGACTGGTATAAAACCCTGATGCATGGAGCTATGACGTAAGCTTTGCAGCATCATTCCTGTAAAAGAGAATATTCCGTGAGGGGTTTTTTAATTAGTCATTTCTAATTTTACAAAAGCAGGACTCCTTTCATAGAGCAGTGGGTTAAATTGCATGCAGAATCTCAGTGTTTCCACTGCTCTTTGAAGAGTCACTCAGCATCTGGCCACGTGGTGGCCTCTGCTGCACACCTGGAATGATTCCTCAAATCAGACAGAATCTTCTAGTGATGTCTCTGAACTCCACACAGGTCCATTCATGCAAAATTACTACCAGGTCAGATGCCCCAAAGGCTTCAGTGGTGTACAGCTACTGCACACAGTATGGAAGAAATGGACTTCAGTACTGCACCCCCAGAGTTCAAGAAATGACAGGGTTTTATTTATTTATGTAGTTAGTTTAGGGACGAACTATACAAGTGGCATTTCTGGGCCCAGGTGGTAATGCTGTCCATGCACAGTCAGGCCCACTGAAACAATCTCCCGTGGAGCTGGCTCTCAGGGATAGCTGCTGGTTCTGCATGGAATAAGACCAACAGTGTTGGTGGTGTGTCACATAGCACATACTCACTGATGGCAACTGGTTGTTCAGCATTCACATTGGATGAATCATCTCACATGCCTGCAGCAGAATTCCTGGTGTCCAGTGTGTTTGATGGCTTTAGAGGAAATAAACAGTTTGGACTTTCACCTGCAGCAGCTGATGAAGCACCATACAGTCCATGGGAGTGAAGAGAGGGTTGTCACGGGGCATTATGGTCTCACAGCCTGGTGATAAACACTAAGACAGCAGCAGGGCTAGCCAGAAAATGGGGAAAGGCTGGAGAAACTGAATAGGGATCTTCTCTCCAACCTCTTTGCTCTCCTCTCCTGCTGCAATCTATTGTCCACAGATATCGCCATCTGGTTTTCTTCTCCATTACCATATACCGTGACACATGTATCTAGTTCTTCTGCTTCCATGAGATCATTCAGGCAAATATGAGTACAGCCTCTGAGCATTTTTCAGCCCCCTCCTATCTAGAAACCAAATCCTATTCATTAAAACCTAAATCACTAAGCCTGCCAAATTATTATCCCCAGAATATGTGCCCCAGATTCTCCCCAGGCTGGATGTCTCTTCCTGCAGCTATATCTTCAGGGACTTACACTAAACAATTATTATTTTCTCAGGATCTGAAGGACTCTGAATAAACTGTTTCAAATAGGAAAAAATATGCAGCATGCTAAAAATCTTTAAATGGTTTGACAGCTCTGAAAGCACTGTGTGAGACTCACGTTAGGGAATACCTTTGAAAACTTTGGCTAGTAACTGTAACATGTAAAAGAGATTTTTTTTTTTTCCAATTTGCTGTAATGAAAGATACATCTATCGGTGATGCACCAAAATGTTGCCAGTTCACTGATTAAAAAGAACTTCACATAAACATGCACACTGATATAGTTCTTTCCTTAAGACACACTTCAGCATCTCTGCTCATACTGCCTCACACGGCTGCACAGTTGTGTTTAAGAGAAGTATTTTCTCTATATTTTTGGCTAGCATATATCTGTCTAGTTAAATACTGGAAACAGCTTTGTATAACATGAAAATAATAATCGAAGCTCACAGCCATGGCTGTGCACAAGGTCGCCTTTCATCAATAGTTTCCTCCTAGGGAACAGCCAGTTAAAATAAACCTTTGGCACAGCTGTTCAGGTTGGCTTTCATTATTCCTCAGTACAGCATATGCAATTTGAGCATCACGTGCATCCATACAAGGAAATCATTTCCTAGTATAATGGCTTTCTTCCATATGCAATTGGTAAATTCAGCGTGGCTACCACAGCCTTTTTTGTTTGGTTGGTTCTGGTGTGCATATGTGTATACGTACTGTTTTGGAATTTTGCAGCTTAGTAATACTTTTCTTAGTTAAATGAAAAGGGGAACTTCTTGTTCCTGTTGATGTGTATCAGGATCTATATCCTTCATTGCTGATGTAGAACGGCATTTCGTTTTTCTTATTTATTCCACCTCAGTAAATCTGCCTGCTCAGTCCTCACGTTTTGATTTAATTTAATGCCTGCAAGATAAGCCCTGTCATTTGTAATAATTTGTAAACCTTCATCTTTAAAATGCATCCAATCTGTCCAGCAGCCCTGTAAAGTATCTGCTAAACATTTTGTTTGAGCTTGCTCATGGTGTTCTCTGATAAGGGCTGCTGATATGCAATGCAAAGCTGACTTCTTATCTCCATCAGCATGGATGTTGCTCCATTTCCAATCAAAAAACTGGGGCAGCAGCCACTCATCTGGGTGCAGAGAAACAAATGTCTGATAAGTGCCGAATCCAACAGCTGGGCAGCATCACTGCCTGAATCAGACAGGGGACTCACAAACATAACAATTAAAACATAAAATCAGAATTCCCATACAATTTAGAACAACTTTAGAAATGTAAATAAGACTGTTTTTGTTTATCAGTTGGCAAATATTCATGAAGAACATCAGCTTGTGTAAATCACCTTGACTACACTGAAATATAAAATAGAAAACCATCCACGTTTGGGACAGGGGTGGGTAGCACAACCAGTAACTATGGGACACCATTCTCCAACATGGCTGTATTAAATGCTTGATCTCAAGGCAGACTTGGCTGTTCCTTTTCAGTTTCTGGGTGGTTCTGCTCCCCAGCATGCCCCTTCAGAGTAAAGAGAGCCCTTTATGCAGATAGCCCACATCCTATCCCTGGTTCTTCAAATTATTTATTCTGTATAACTGCAGTACATCATTAATGATGCCCCCACGTTAAAAGTCAGAGCCTGGAAAGCTGTTAATTAAAACTGTGAAAGGAGAGAAAGCTTTAGATGAAAGAATACTTGTGCTAATACCTACCTGCAGATTCCTTCTCCAGAATTTGGCAGTGCAACGCACAGTGCATGTGAATCTGAATATCCAGCATGAAACACTCAGGATCTTTTATTGCTCAGTATCAGCAATAATGACATCCCTCAAGCCCCTCTGACTTTGGTTTATTTCATCTCCTCGGACTTTGCATTTCATTTCTGGAAGGAAGAGTTAAAATAATCTGCGATAGCTCTTTGAGTGCTTCAACCTGGCACAGTTGCCTTGCAACCAGTAGATCTAGGACATTCCATGTAGGACAGACATTGCAGTAACTTCAGGTGTGATCTAAAAGGAAAAAGGTCTTGCAAACTGGCAAGCATTTTGGCCATAAAAATTCAGGACAAGAAGTCTGGACAGTAAATGAATGCTGTTTTTGAATGATTCAGCTGCATGTTCAGAGAAAGCTGCGACATTTTCCAGGACATCTTCCATTTTACAACGAGAAGAAGCTCATTCCCACCAGGAGAGCGGCAGGTAGAAGTGCCCTTTTGCAGAAGTCTGCCATGTCACATAGGCACCTGATGCTGAGCCCATCTGAAAACCTTACTGTATCTCAGCATGCTGGAATATCTGACCCCAAAAGCCCAACAGATCTCACCTCCTCTCTATCAGCGTTTCATGGGCACCTCAGCTACTTTGCTACTGAAAGTGGAATTGAGTGTTTCAGCTTTCAGCATTTAATTCCCTGCAAAAAATAGTTGGAAGTTAACTGAATGGGAAGAAAAACAAAAAGAGTATAATGTGAGAGACCGTGTGTTTGTTTCAAAGATTAAGGAACTGTCAGAAGCAAAGCCTGGAAGCGTTACATAAATACACCTATGTAACATAACAAAGTATGAAATTATCACAGAAAAGCCAGGAAATGGTGATAAAATTAAGAGAGGAAGTTCCCCAGCTTGCATCCGATGAAAACAGCAGATCAACCATATTGACTTGGTAACAGATTTACTGTTCTGCGTGCTGTGCTTTCACTCTTGCCAAATCAAAGGCAAACTACCAACTCATCCTGAACACACATTTTGTTTTGCACAGCTGCTAATGCATACAGAAATTTTGTTTGGTGTTTACTGTCACGAGTTCTAACCGTTTAAAAGAAACCCATCTATCAGCAGAGAAGAAATCGATGCACTTCTAGAAAAATTATCTATGAGCTCAAGGTGGGTTTACAGCCAAGGTATTTAGGACATTTTGTACATTAATTACTCAAAACCTACCATGAGGTGAGTTTCTGCCTACATACACTAATGGCTTTCAGAGTTTAATCTCTCATCAGTGGAACTCCTTTGGTGAAATCCCTAAGGGATTATGTAGTACTGTCTAATCACTTGACAAATTTCATTTACTTGAAACTGAAGCTAGGTTTGAATTATACAAAGTGTGTAGGAGGAATCAAATTCAAAGCAGGAAAACAGAATCTGGACAGGACCAGATTTATCATGATGCTCATATCTAAACTGTTTAACAATAAATGAAACAATTTCCCCAGGGAAACATATCAGTTGTATATCTGCTGCATATGCCCATGAGAAACTCAAATTGCTTACAAATGACATACAACATAGCATGAATCAGGAAGAAAAAAAAATGGGAAATTTTAATAATTTTGTATCATCTAACATAAAAAAGACAAACACTTATTGCTCTGATTTGTACAGTAGGCTGCCACTCAACAAAGATGGTTATTTGGCATAAATTACATGCTGCAGAAACACACAGATGGATCTGTGCTCTGAAGTTGAGCCCTGCGACCCAAAGCATCACCTGTACCACCGGGTGAGCGGAGCCCCACTCCTGTGCACTGCCACCTCCCTGCTGCAGAATGGCCACTGCCGGTTCCCCACTAAATAGCAATTCTCGGTGGCTGAACACATCCTGAAGGCTAATGCCGTGAAAGTCGTGGCATTATTCTCTGCTACTGTGCACAGGCAGATCTCTACATAAACAAAATCTACCAGAAGACACCACAGAAAATGAAAAGGAACTTAAAATGATGCGTAGCCCCCGGCAGCAAGCTAGCAACATGAAGGCTGTGTGATGCTATAATCCCTTGTGCGATCCATAACCGAGGTCCCCTCTGCCAAGCCCCGCTACATGGCTGGTCCCAGGGAAACACTGTGTTATGGCTCTGGGAAGGACACCCAACAAACACACAGCCCCACGCTATCTCTACAACCCAAATTCACCCAAACCTATCGAGTCCGCAGCAGCAACAAGAGTTCTTTTGCAAAAAAATCCCTCTTGCTCCATTCAGGAAAGGCTCAGAGCCACCGCATACACACAGACAGACAGACAGACACTCCATCCATCCCTGCACAGAGCAAACGGTGGCAGCGCGGGCTGTTTCAGAGCCCTGCTCAAAAGTGACCCAACTGGCCTCATCCCCTCTCAGCGCCCTCAGAGAGCAGATTTAAACAGGCTATTGTTCGATCCCCGGGTACCTTTTTTCTCTTGGCTTTGTTCCGCGTTTTCCTCTGCTGCAGTTTCCATGGCTGGCTTCATACCATCCACCAAAAATGCCGCCCCCCGCCCCCCGGCACAGGCGCTTTCCCCTCGCCTCCTTTCCCGCTCCCTATTGACGGCAGCGACGATGAAGCGCCTCTGTTCTCCCTCCCGCGGATCACAGCCCCTTCCACATCGCCCAGGCTCTTGTCAGCTTCGATCTCGCACCACTCACTGGCCCGCCCGGCGCCGTGCCAGTCTCCGCTCCACCGTACGTCACCACCGGCCCCAGCTATAAGAGAACCCCCGATACCCCTTCCCCACTGTGAGCCGCGGCGAGGGCAGAGGGGGTGAGAAAGAAGGGAGCCCCCCGACAGCATCTGCAAGGGGTGCCCAGGTCGGTGAGCAGCCTCGGGGCTCACTTTCCCGTGGGAGCCGGCCGCCCCACCGTGCATTTTGATTCATCCCACACACCTCCTGCCCTCGCAAGGAATGGGTCAGCAAGAGGGTTTGCCTCCCTGGCTGAGTCCTGCTCACAGAGGCAAAAGCACATGTGAGAGAGGGATAAGAGCAAGAGCTCCTATGTGTATAAGGAAAATCTAAATTCTGACTCAAGAGCACAATGGATAAAAGAAAACACCAAAAAAAAAAAAAGAAAAAGAAAAAAACCAGCAGGCTTGCATGACCTAAGATCTGTGAGCAATACCATGAAGGATAAAATGTTTAAGGAAACACAGCTGGGGTTTTAAAACAATGTCTGCTGTTTAAGACCTAAAGCCAAGCATGAAAATCATAGAAGCATAGAATGGCTTGTGTTGGAAGAGTCTACCCAAGTCCCAACCCCTGCCATGGGCAGGGCTGCTCCCCACCAGCTCAGCTGCCCAGGGCCCCATCCAACCTGGCCTGGAGTGCCTCCAGGAATGGGGCAGCACAGCTTCTCTGGGCAGCTGTGCCAGCACCTCACCAACCTCTGGGTAAAGAACTTCTGTATAACATCTAACCTAAATCTCCCCTTTTGTCCTATCATCATCTGCCTGTGTAAGTCATTCTCCCTCCTGCTTATAAGTCCCCTGAAAAACTATGAGGCCATAATGAGGTTTCCCCAGAGCCTTCTCCTCTCTAGGCTGAACAAGTGCAGCTCCCTCAGCATTTCTTCATAGACGATGTGCTCCAGCCCTCTGATCATCTTTGTGGCCCTCCTCTGGACCCACTCCAACTTCTCTGTTCAGTGAGCAGATCACTGCCAACAAGGCCACATGTGATCACTCCCCCACTCCCTTACCTCCAGCAAAGCCAGGAAGTGGCATCAGCACTCCTCATGCCCATGCAAGTATTATTTAACTTCCAAAACCCAAGCCAACATATTCAGACACTGTATTAAAGCTAATTACCTTGTCCATCACCCTGCTTGTCTCTGGCCTAACAGTATGTCCCGCTGCACAGCACAGCCATGCCCAAGCAAGCCCCTTGTTGCAGGAGGGTAGTGAAGCATCCAAGGAGTAATTTGCTTTGTAATCTGATGGATTTTGGTGGTTCACAGCCTCTGCAGCTTCTGCCGGCTGCAAAGACATTGGGCAGATTCAGCAAATGCTGAAGATATAAAACTACATATAAACTATAAAGCTGCGTGTTCCATATAACAGATTCAACCAGGAGAGTGGGAAGAGGGAAGCAGTCCAAAAAATTTTAGCTGCAATTCAGCCTTTTCTGACTGAAGCTCTTACACCCACAAGTTTGCTGTGCATTTTTATTTCTATAGATGTTGAGTGACAAGCAGAACAAGCCTCAGACCCAGCCTTTAGAGAATGTTCCCTTCTTTCAGAAGAAACCAGCACATGATTTTCCTCTCTTACCACTGTCACCACAGCAGCAGCTGAGCAGCAATGCCCAAAGCAAAGTAATGAGCATACTGTGTCCCAACCCCGCCAACAAGAGGTCTCATTCTTCTCACTTATCTTAAGATTTCATAGCACAGAACCAGGACTTGACAACTATTGAGCATTTGCCTAAAAACCTAAAGGAAGAGTCTGGGATCAAAGCTTTTATCTCAGCAGAACTTCTTACAAGCAGGATGAATTAATTTGTAGAGGAAGTTTCCTCAGGAACCCACGTGCTGGGCTCCTGCAGGTAATCAAATCAGCAGTACCAGCAGAAACCTCACCCCAGGTGCAAGGCTTAATTTTCCAGTCTTCTGTAATGCACACACAGCAGTCCACACACATTACAATCCCTGTCCCAGTACAACCATGTAAAGCAAACACGCTCCTTCATGAAAGCAGCTGAAAGGGAAAACCACATGTGATATGTTTGGCAAGTTGCTTGAACCATTACTAAAAGTTTTTCAAATTCTGTAGCCAAAAAGGAAAGAACTTCATTAGACTTCGGATAACAGTTATAAAAAGTTTACATAAAGAGTGTTTTTATTCCGTTTAGCATCACTACGATAGAAAATACACAACAAACACATCCTTACTTGCCAAAAGTCATTCCAACTTCAGCCATTGGTCAAATCAGTGGACTGTTTCTGACATTGATATTCCCTTTTTGGAACTTATCATTCAGTCCGTCCATCTGCTCTCAGATGTAACAGTCTAAAGGTCATTAAGAAGGTGAGGTATAGACTGTCACATCTGCGAGGGCTCAAACCTTGCTTCTGACTACCCCATGTTACAAAAAGCCTGCTCAAAAACTAATCCAAGTGTCAGTATTTTAATACACTTAGTAGTATAAACACACAGAAAATACAAATGTCACCTAAATTTTCCTTTCTTTAAACAGAAAATATGTTTGGCAGGACTTTCAGTTCTGCCTTTGGCGGAAACCTGCTAACAATCCCCTTTTCTCTCTGTCAGTGAGACCTACACCTTCAAACAACTGTGCGCGTCCCTGCTGGCAAGCAGATTTTGTTGGGCAGACTCAAGACTTCAGAGCAGATGTTTTATAAACACACAATTCTAAGAGGCTAGGACACTATTTCCCCCTACTTTCTCCCATGATAACATGGGATATACATTAATCTTCCCCTAACAAGCAATGCAGAAGTAAGCGCACAATACCAAAACTTCACAACAACATGAACAAAAGACTTCAGAAGTCATCAGTCTAGTCTATTCAGAAGCACTAATTCTTCTAAATCATCCTCTAAAAGCTTTAGGAGATGCCTAAGTTTAACGCTCTCTCCCACTGCTGACTGCTTTCCTGGATGCTGGATTATACAATGGGTTTAAGGACTTATCATCTTAAGCCATTTCTTAATCTTCCAGCTCATCTGATAACAAAGCAGATATAAAGCATACACTACTCAGTGCAAACATGGGTACGGATCTCATGCATCAAGTCTTAATTTGAGCCAGCAAATTGTCTCCGCCATCACTCCACCTCTTCATCAGATATGCCCTTTTCATCTGATCAGACGGGGAAACACCAAGTCTATGTCTATGACAATATGGCAAAAGATAATGCCTCAGAGGTAGAAAGGACAAAAAATTATTTAAGGACTGATACTTGGCAAAAACCTGCTGTACCAACCAGGCTGATTTAGATCACCAGTGATCAGAAAGGCGGCTCATTACATTTCACGAGTTCAGCCCCACATTTCACTAGCAGTTCAAAATAAAAATGCAAATGAGAAGGGCAGTCCAAGAAAGGGTTCTGCTGCTAAAGCACATGGCTGTGGGGAACATCACTGAGACTTGGGAAAAATAATACAGAATCCTAGCAGACATAACCCAGGAAGAACAGCAGTGGAGCAAATATATGAAGGTACTGCAGACCAAGTGACATTTACTGCAAAGTAGCACTAAAGAGGTTTTACTTCATTTCATCTAGTTAGAAAGAAAACAGAAAACATGTAATCACTTTGCTCAGTCAAGTAAAGCAGTCCCATCTCAGAAGTTTAAAATTCTGTTCAAAATCCAATTCCATTCAGATGGCAATTCTTTTGAACACCTATCTTTAATGCCACTGAATCTACATAGTTTACATTCCTGAAGGCCAAGGAACTCTATCATAAGCTACTGAAAATTCTTCAGAAAGTTTAAGATGAGCACATTTTTGCCATTTCTACAAAGACTTTACAGAGCTGTAACAGTCTTCCCATACAGTTCAAGAACAATTTGAGATCATTCTATGAAATCTGAGACTCCAAAGGTAAAATTCAAAGCCTGTGTCTCAGACAAGACTGACATATTCCAAACAACTTCTTTTAAAGGCAACTTGAGGCATAGAAAGCATAGAAAAACGTTCAAGAGAAGGAACAAACACACAAGCAGTCAATTGGTACGTCTTAGTGTAACTACTTGTGTTCAGATCTGCTTTTTTTTCAAGGGAAAATGGTTTTAAGTTGAAGGAGAGAAGATTTAAGTTGGATATCAGGGGGAAGTTCTTTACCATGAGAGTGGTGAGATGGTGGACAGTGCCCAGAAAGGTTGTGGATGCCCTGTCTTTGGAGGTGTTCAAGGCCAGGTTGGATGGGGCCCAGAGCAGTCTGGTCTAGTATTAGACATGGAGGTCAGCAGCCCTGACTGCGGCAGGGGTGGGGGTTGGAGTTTTTGTGATCCTTGAGGTCCCTTCCAACCCGAGCCATTCTATGATTCTATGATTTTGCTTTAACCTTGGTTACGCAAAAGCAATCAAATGTTCCACGTGGATAAAATTAGAGCATGACAACAGGCTTGTAGTTGTACAGTAGTTGTGTACCTAGCAAGTACTTAAAAAGAAATAACCTGGGGCCCATTCTTCAGTCATATTAGATTACTAGGAAAACCAAATCCTAATTAATGATCTCATGAACAAATAATAGTGAAAAAACCCTGCACTTTTACCACAGCATAAAATACAGACTATTAAAAAATATGAGTTCACAATGCAGTTAGGAGCTGCAGTCTTGGACTTCTGGACAAAGGGAAAATTAAAAGCCTAAGGAGTTATCTTTTCAAGCAAAGGGAGTTGCTGAGTTCACAGATACAGGTGGTCCAGGAGGGTGAACAGAGCTCAGCAGTATGAAGGTGCAACCTCTTTCCCCCAGCCACATGAAAACCACAGTGATTGCTGCCAAGCAA